ATATGTTGATTCATATTATGGTATTTTTATAGAACACAGCATTAGAATTCAGGAAGCTGCCAGTTGAAGTATGGTCCTGATGAACATTTTGTAAAATATTAGTAGGGTGCTATTACTTAAATGCATGTTGAGAAGCACAAAACAGAGTCAGATGACATTTCAGGCATTTCAGTCCCAGGTCACGTCTTGAGAAAATTGCTGAAATAATGGAGGGGGCATTTTCCAAGCAGAGCTACAGCTCCAACAGCTATGTTTACTTTAACGCTTCACTAGTGACTTCTGATTGGTTGTCATGACCTCATCTCACTGTTGCACCTAGGATGTTGCAACAGTGACATATACATACCTTCTTGTGAACAAGGTGTATTATACATACATACATCTTTCAGAAAAGATGAATGGACAGTGGTTTATCCATTTTAACCATGAGTAGAAGTAGTTTATAGATAAAACACTTTTGAGTTTCATTTCCCTGAAGGATAAGCACCTATTTTCTTTCAAATTAAGCAGAAAGGATGCTGAACTTGAAAAAATATGATTGATAAATCTGTATAAAATGATCTCTTAGAGACCTTTGTTTGATGGCCAAAATGGATAGTTTTGTAGGTCAAAGAATTCTACTGTGTCCCCTGACCTCTCTGATCACATGTAGCTTGCCGTATTGGCAGGTTAATATGCAGAGTTCAGTACTTTCATCAGATTTTTATTTAGCCAATCACAAGAGATTTAAAAAGATGTAGATTTGTCCTTATTTTCCATTCTTCTTATAATTGGGAAATTAATTTGGATAATCTTTAGTTTTCCCAAGGTATCATTTATGGTCAAAAGTACATTCTGGTTTTGGTCAAGTATTTTAACATTTTATACTTTTTACAAAGTATTCTTTTTAAGTACATTTCTATACCGATTTGATGTGTCTAGCAGTATTTCTTCTTTTGGTTCTTTGTGTTTGGCCTTACCTGTCTGCAAGACTTTTCTAATCTGACCCAACATTTGATTGAACTGTAAATGAAGTATAATTTATTAGTAAGTACATTTATAGTATATTAAAGAAGGCCCAGAGGCCTGTGTATTTTATTTAAATCACAAGTGCTGAATAAAATGCCACATCTAGCAATGAACTTTTGAGGGTTTCTGATTAAGATACCATAGTTAAGACCCTATAAACACAGGTTTGAAAATGAAACTAGTTATAGCTACAAAGTATAGAAAATGGAATGAGATGAATAAACCTTACTTTTACTAATGTCTTTCCTCTTGATCCCCTTCCTGATCTTCTGCTAAACTGTATGATGAAACCTAAATTAACAACTTGATGTATGCTTTGTCACTTGAAATGTTAGATATTAGAATTTGAGTAGATCATTATAAAAGATGCCAGAGTTTTATTTATTTAACTGTAAGATGTTAGATAATCAGCTTTATCATTTCAGATACTCAGAAAAACCTCTTCTGTTATCTTTACCAAGACAAAATATAAATTTCATGAGAAATTTAGCATGCTTACAAAATAATTAAATATAAAAGGGAAACTTCAGTATAAAATGTTTAAGATTCTAAGCCCAAGTTATGGAGCCTTTTTTAATGGAGTAGAAATGCCTAAGTATTTTCTAATATACTGGATGCCTGATTGTATAATAATTTTTAAAAACTATGGATAAAGGTCACATTAGCCGCCTTTTTACTTGTTTCATTGTGTACTGATAGAATTATTGAAAACAGAATTTTAACAATGATATGTATTCTGATTTTTAAAGATATTGTGTTCTATTTAAAACAGTTAAATTTAACTACTGATATTTTGTTTCTGCTTTATCTAATTTCTTTTGCCTGTGTAGTTTCCATATATTAGTTGACATTGCAAAAACCATTGTAGCTTATATAAAGGGTTTTTTAGACACGGTATATGACTTGAGCAAAGAAGGAAGTTTTACTGTGTATCTGTGATTAGAGAATTGAGGTAGGATAGTTTATTTTGCTGCACTTGCTTTCTCCCATTCATTGTAAAGTGGTTGTGAATGGTCTCTGTGAATATCACATCAATTAATTTATCAGTAAAATCTTAGATGAAAATGGTAGCTTTTTACAGAATGGCAATTAAATTCTCAATAAAAATATTAAGAACCAACTCTTATTTCTGCAAAAAGTATTCCTGTTTTTCAGTTGTTACTTTAATCAAACTGGCAGTTCGAAGTATCTAAAGGATAAAATATTTTCTAAATAATTTAGGTGTATAAAGAGAAACTTTCACTGTTGAAATTTAAATGAAAAAATTCTTTAATTGATTTATATAGTGGTGGTTTAAAAATAGAATCATTTTTCTTCTGCTGATGCCTCAGTGAAAAATTGACATTATGTCTTTATAAAACTGAACAAATGAGTCATGTAATTTTCAGTTACATAATCAATAATTTAGACAAATACTACTTCTTTGATGATTTATGTGTGTTTATTTTTTATATTTACTTAAATAGGACACATCAAATTTCAGAGACTATTTAAAATCAAATAGGTACAATAGTTTTTCAGTCTATGGTCTCTACATTTGAAGTAAAAAACTCCTTCTTAAATAAGCATATATTATGAAAATATTATTTCTAATATTTAAATTATAAATTGGGATAATTGTCTTATAATTCTAGTAATTAAAACTTTGTTCAAAGAGTTTGTCTTTTGTCTGAAAGTCATTCATACTGCAAAGATGATGCTTATTAATTAAAGTCCCACTTTATTTCTTTGAGTTTGTAATTTTTCATATTATCATTAGGCTATAGTATAGCATTATTTTCATCTCTATATAAGATTCTATTTGGAGCTTGCTAACTCTGACATGTCTGAATATGAGAGACTGTGTGTGTGTGTGTGTGTGTGTGTGTGTGTGTTTAAAGTTCAATCCACTCAGAGAAGGCAGGGAAGAAACATGACAGGAGACCACTTACTCACGGTACAGAATCTATAGTAAGGAGGCAATTTTCTTTTTGGCCTGTGGTGACCTTTTTTGACTATGTTCCCTACACCAGAGACAGTGTACTGAATGCCTCTATTTCACCCTGTTTAGCAGAGTGCAACAGTGTTCTTTAACTTACTTTTGGTGGGAGGAGAAGTTATAGCTGAAATTTGAGAAGGGCGTGAAAAGTGGTAAGAGACACAAGGAAGAGAGGGGTAGGAACTTCCTTCAAATGTGATTTTAATAACTAGTCAAGTGTGTCCAACTGTTGAAAATCACCAAATGACAATCTGTCTACCTGACAGTGATCACAATGAATTACAAGACTTTTGAATTAGCTATACAGATTAGAATAAAGCAGGAACAGATAAAATATCTTTTGTTGGTAAAACTTTTGACTTGCCGCTAAGAAAATAAAAATAAAAAAAACTGTTGTGGTTTCATGAAAATTGTTTCATTTAATAAATTTGTAAAGCATTTATAAACCCTTCCTGAAAGAGGCATTATCTCAAAATTTTTTTTAACATCTGCAGAAGAATATATTTGTAAATCATTTTGGTATGTATCATTAAGTAGTTTTTAATATATAAGATGGCTATATCTTAATTTATAGTCTTGTCACCTTAGTGATTTGAAACTTCCAAACTAGTCATGGTTTTTGTGGCACTAATATCATATGATTGGGGTGAAAATTGAAACACTTCCAATGAAGTTTGTAAGTAGTTTGTTAAATCAACTATATAAAAGGCCAATGAAGTGCAGAAGTATAGCATATTTTAAGATAAGAAAATTGAGTCTATGCTAATATTGGCTTATTCATACTGCTATAAGTTTTGTAAGGATCATTTTCTTATGATTGGTGCTGCAAAAAGTTAAATCTTAACGTAAGATTAGATAATTGTAGTTTTGGAAAAATATGCTGTTTTAGTAAGCAGGAAGGTTTTATAAGCTTAATTTTCTATAACATGTTTTTTTATCAGAACATATAACATCTTTTAAGTATAAATTTAGGGGATTTTACAAGGACATAATTGGAACACCCACAATACAGAATTGGATGGAAAGGACATATATATTCTAGCTTCAAAAATTTGCATTGCACATGCTTGTCAGTTGTTATTGTTTATCCTTCTCTGTTTTCTCATGGTTAGGTTATTCCATCAGATATAAGATAAATATCAAAAGTTTTCTTAATTATAACTGCAAAAATGTTTCCTTGCTAGAAATAAATTAGACAGGCAAACATATGTTTTACAAGCTTGAAAAAAATCCTGAGTAGCTCAATAGAATGTATTTTTAAACTCTGAAACTTAACTTGTAGTTTCCTGGTACTGGTTCTTAATAAAATTTGTTTGCTTGAAAAACAAACAAACAAATAAATTTACAGGTTAAAGAGGTGCTTCCATATATTATAGTAAGACATTGGTTTATTTTGTTTTGTGATGTGTGGGTCCTCCTGAGAGAAAAGTAATACATAAAATCTGAGGTGCTCAAGTAGATATTTTATGTTTCTGATAATTTAGATGTGTAAATAGTAGAATGTTAGATCAGATTTATTCCTTTTTAATTAACTGTTTAATTTTATTTTACTGTCTGGACAAATTTAAAATGCTCATTAAAGGGCAATTTTAAAGGAAAAAACTCCTAGAAAATGTAACATGAATTGTAAACTTTAATTTCCAAAAGGTTATTGTCTCAAAACATGTATTGTAAATATTAATATGGTTTGAAAGTATATTTGTGGTTTAATAATTAATTTCAATCATTTTTGAGGTTCTGGGAGATCCAAATTACCTTTTAATTTAAGATATATGATTTTTATGTTACCATTATGTCTTTTTGTTCTTAGAGATAATATGTTTATTTACACACATAATGAAGACAATTTCAAATGATAATTTCAAATTTGGAAAAATTAAACCATAATCTTTCCTAAAGGAATATTTTAGTTGATGTACAACTATATTAAATTACTTAGTCTAAGATTTTAGCAGCTTTTTATGAATTGAAATAGATTCTAAGATTAAATATGCTACTTTTCATTTCAAAATAGGAAGGATATGGAGTAATAGTACTGAATCCCAATGAAAACTATATTGAAGTAGAAAAGCCGAAGATGCATGTACAATCATCTTCTGATAGTTCAGATGAACCAGCAGAAAAACGGGAAAGAAAAGATAAAGTCTGTAAAGAAACAAAGAAGCGACGTGATTTCTATGAGAAGTATCGTAACCCCCAAAGAGAAAAAGAAATGATGCAATTGTATATAAGAGTAAGTAAGAGAATTACTTTCCTTCATTATTTCCTTTATCTTATTTTTATCTTATTTCATATGAGTTATTTTGTTATTTGTCTTCTCCATGGTTATCTACTTACATGAAATATTTTCTATTTTTTATTTAATATTACAGAATACATTCTTAGTGTGACATTTTACAGAAGTTGCAAATGATGTTTATTTTGTGTGATAAGCTTCTTCTGCTATTTCTTTTGTGTGATAACTATCTTTTACAACATTTTCTAAAATAATATTTTGTGGTATATATAGAAGCAAGAAAACTTTCCAATTCAGCTCCCAAACATGCTGTTTCTTTAAGGTATTATGCCATTATGTTTTCCATGTAGGCTAATCATTCTAAAACATTGGCTGAATTAATAATGCATTGCACAAAACAATCTTCATCATTGGTGGTAAGTGTTACTAGATAATGCTTTGTTTTCCTATGAACAACTATCTATCCATAGTGTCTCAGCCTAACTTCTGAAGGCAGATAGGGAGAAAAGAGTAATTAATATATTAATAAATATTTAAGCTAGAATAGTTTAGGGAACTCTTGTCCTTTGCTCTTGTCTTCCCAGTGAGCCCTTGCACTTTGTAATGGTAGCAGCATGAGACTGTGATAGCAGTGCTGCCCAAGGATATCTAATATAGGGGACACAAACAATTGTATTTGCACTTTGGCATATTCTTCGTGATGTACATACTGTGCTTTATATGGATAAGACAAATTTGTGTTACTTTCAAGGCCCTTATTATGGATGCTAGAAGTTTAACACTAAAGCATATCAAAATGATACTAGGTGAAGTAAAATAGTGAATTGGTGTTTTCTTCAAAAGTAAGGAATTCAAAATATTTAAAGATAGCCAAATTTTCATTTTGCAAATTATATTATAGGACAGTAGCAATATTTCAGAATACTCAATTTAAGTTACTTTTTCATTTATTTTAAAAGATCATAAGTAAAATATTTCATAATATTTTTAAGAGGAAATACATTGCCTTCTAAATTTTCATTTTCTTTATCCTACCTATAATTAATTGCATAATCACTGTTCTTTTTGGAATTGTGTTTCAAGCATTCAGGCATCTGATTATAGGTCATCAGTCTACTGAATGATTTGGGAAAGTAGTATATAAATTTTCATGATTCCCCAAAATGTGTCCTTACCAAGAATACCTAAAATGCTTTATGTGATAAACAAGGGTTAAGCAGACTACAGTATTTAAACTTTTAAAAATCACATCACTATTTAATGATTTGAAAAACAAAAATAAGTACTAGGAATCATTAAGTAGCCTGTTTGTTCTAAAGTAACTGTATTGACCCTTTTCCTTGCTTATGACTGCATCAGGGTCATTATGTTACCTTTTCCTCCATCAGTTATCCTAAGGTTTCTACTCTGTCATTCAGTCCATCTTATGGTAAAGTTAGTTAAATTTTTTGAAAAATTGCCTCTGATACCCACATTCTAGAGATGAATTTCATAAGGTTTTTGAAGCATACAAACCAAATAGAGTATTGGCTTGTCTATGTAAAAATGCAAAGAAAAAACGATTTAGTATGTTAAGGCTTTTACTTTTTCTTAAATAATTTCTTGCCTATTATATGTACAGATTGATTAGGAATGCATCTCAGATATCTGCCTGTAGATTTTTTCCATTCTATTTTCTTTTTATCATGTCACCGTGACTTTGGTTATTTTCTTTTGTTCTCTTGTATGTGAATTTTCTTGATCCTGTTTTTTCACATCTGGTTCATTTATCCCTGCATCTGTTTTTCATAACACCAAAGGAAAAGTCTTTTTATGTTGCTTCAGTAAGACCTGCTGTCTTAACCAGGCACTGTGGTACAACCCTGTTATCCCAGAGACTTTGGAGGCTGAGGCAAGAAGATTGCAACTTCAAAGCCAGACTTAGCAACTTAGTGAGGCCTCAGCAACTTACTAAGACCCTGTCTCAAAAATAAAAAAATAAAAAGGGCTGTGGATATGGCTCAGTGGTTAAGCACCACTAGGTTCAATTCCCAGTACCCAAAACAAAGAAACAAACAACCGTCTCTTTCCTTTTGCCTTTTTTTTTTAATTCTTTTTTTTCTCTTCTACACTTCCATCATTTTTATTTCTTTTATTTATATCTTTATGCTTCTTTCTTTCTTATGAGCGTAGTTTGCTCATCAGTTCAGATTCACACTGGAAGCACTAAAAGATAAAAATAAACTCATGTAGATAACACAACTTTGTATATGATAGTCTTAGCTAATGAACTGTATTTCTTAATGTAAACATCCTGGCTGTTAAAATCTCCTGGGATTGTTCAGAATAGCATAGGAATGATGAAACTCTTCAAACATACTTCTAGATAGTAAGGCTTGGTTCTATAGAGGAAAAGAGAAGAATAGTTCATCTTGTATGAAGTGCATTAATTCTAAGGAGATTTTGATCCATTCCAAAAATAGACTTCTTCCCTCTACATATTTTTATGTATCCAATATTCACATTTTTTAAGACTGAGAGTATAGTATATGATAGAGAGAAATTAAGTTTTATTTATATACTTCTTAATCATTTACATTTTGAAACTGTCATCTGTTCTTTACAATAGCTTAATAGGTAAGTAGATCAGATCTACTTTATCCTTATTTTATAATTAAGGAAATTGATACAGGGATGTCTGTCCAGGATTACATAGCTAGTAAACGGTAGAACTAAGTATTAAAACTAGGATTCTAAGTACTGAAGATATTTGTACCCTTTCCTCTTTACTACATTGTTCTATCAGTTGAAAACAAAGTATATATCTGAAATATGAAAATTAAACCATATATGAGAAAAGTATGATATGATATAGTAACATCTGATTATTATATATACTTTTTTGCAGAGATACCAGGGGTTGAATTCAGGGGCACTCAACCACTGAGCCACACCCCCAGCCCTATTTTGTATTTTATTTAGAGACAAGGTCTCACTGAGTTGCTTAGTGCCTCATTTTTGTTGAGACTGGCTTTGAATAGACTTTTGACCAGCTATCATTTAATAGATATAACATATATTCTCTCTCTAATATTGAGTCAGATTTATAGGTGAGGAGACTATACGTCAAAAACTGTTAGTAATTTTCCCAAGGTCACATAGTTCCATGTGGGCGGGTACTAGTCTGTTTTGCTCCATACTTTATCCTCTGAACCTAGAATAGAATCTTCACGAACACTTAAAGAATGGAGCTTTCACAGTAAATTTAAATAAGGAGGGAGAGACAGGTTTTAAAAATCAAACCACTACACTAGTATGGCAATATGTAAATCAATGGATGTGTAGCTGATGTGATTCTGCAATCTGTATACGGGGTAAAAATGGGAGTTCATAACCCACTTGAATCAAAGTGTGAAATATGATATATCAAGAACTATGTAATGTTTTTTTATATGATATGTCAAGAAATTTGTAATGTTTTGAACAACCCACAATAAAAAATTTAAAAAAAAGAACTATGTAATGTTTTGAACAACCAACAATAAAAATTAAAAAAAAAATTAAAATTGAAGTCAATAAAAAAAATCAAACCACTGCTCCTTTTTTTGTTATACATTCTCTATTATTTAAGAATGCTGCCTGATTTTCTATGAGAAAATATTCAAACAAACAGAAGCAAGCAAACAAAAATCGCTACATTATTGTTCTCCAACCCAATCATTAGACCAACATTATGTGCCAAAAATTACCATAGTCAGTTTCATGAATTAATGTAATCAATATGCTGATATTTGATACCTTGACTAGTCTATGCATTTTCATCTGTATGTATAAAAGTAGAAATCTTGTTTTCCTTTTTAGCTTTACCATCGCCACTTAAATCATGGATCAAAATGGAATGTTTCATTCTTACCCAATGCTTTTTCTCTTTTACGCATTCGCTGTCCTCTGCTCGTGCTTTGTGCTTTATGATATCTGTAACTTTTTTCCCTGTTCTTTCCCCAATCCAATTTCTTCATTTTGTAGTGCCCTGCTGAAATACCACTTTTTCCTCTCACTATAGGCAATGAACTAATCCTTTCTTAGACTCATGGAATTGTAATTAGTTATCTTATGAAGGGTTTATCATGAGCCATCTTGAGTTATCTTATATTTTTGTTTTGTAATTTTTTTAATATTACCAATTTACCTTTTCTTGTGTAAGTTTTATTTTTAAAGCCTATAAAGATGCTTTTTGAAGTTTACAAATATCTAACATGCCAAGACATACACAGTTGGAGATATCCATAATTCCATTACCTAGTAGCTAACTTCATTTTGAGCTTTTTGAAATTTTTTTATTTAAAGTTTTTTATTGGTACATATTATGCCAAATAGTGGGTTATAATGTGGCATATCATACATACGTATAACCTAATTTTATCAGTTTTGCTGCCTAGTACTTCCTCTTGTTCTTCTCTCTCCTCCCATGATCTCATATCTTATGATCCTACCTACCATCTTCTACTTTAAAGATCTCTCCTTTTATTGTCATTAAATAGCTTTTTACCTTTTTCCCCCCTCTAGCTTCAACATATAACACTTGTCATTCTGTGTCTGTCTTGTTTAATTTAATATGATGTTCTCCAGTTCCCTCCATTTTCCTGCAAATGACATCATTTTATTCTTCTTTATTGCAATAAATGTAATACATCACATAAATTTGTAAAGGACACAAATCAAGTGATCATCCCTATATATGCAGAAAAGGCTTTTGTTAAAATTCAACACCCATTCATGATAAAAACTCTGAAGAAACTAGAGATAAAAAGAATTTGCCTCAGCATCATAAATGATAAACCCTCTAAAGACAACACTATACTGAATGGGAAAAACTTAGAGCATTTCTTCTGAAATCAGGAGCAAGACAAGGATGTCTTGCTTTCACCATTTCTTCAATACAATACTTGAGGTTTTAACAGAGCAATTAGACAAGAGAAAAAATAAAAGGAATGCCAATAGGAAGAAACCAAATTATT